CACACACACACACACACACACACACACACACACACACACACACACTCGTCGTCCTCCTCCATCACATTCTCCCCCTCCTCTCCCTCCTCCCTCCTCTCCCTCCCCGTCTCTTTCTCCACCACTTTCTCCCCCTCCTCTACCTCCTCCATCTCCTCCCACCATCCTCTACCTACTCCCTCTTCTACATTCTCCCTCTCCTCTACCTCCTCCATCTTCTCCCACCATCCTCTACCTACTCCCTCTTCTACATTCTCCCTCTCCTCTACTTCCTCTCTCCCCTATCTCCCCACTCCTCGTCCTCCTCCATCACATTCTCCACCTCCTCTACCTCCTCCCTCCTCTACCTCCTCCTCCTCCTTCTCCACCACTTTCTCCCCCTCCTCTACCTCCTCCGCCTTCTCCCACCATCCTCTACCTACTCCCTCTTCTACCTTCTCCCTCTCCTCTACTTCCTCTCTCCCCTATCTCCCCACTCCTCGTCCTCCTCCATCACATTCTCCACCTCCTCTACCTCCTCCCTCCTCTACCTCCCCCGTCTCTTTCTCCACCACTTTCTCCCCCTCCTCTACCTCCTCCGTCTTCTCCCACCATCCTCTACCTACTCCCTCTTCTACATTCTCCCTTTCCTCTACCTCCTCCATCTTCTCCCACCATCCTCGACCTCCTCCTTCTTCTACCTTCTCCCCCTCCACTACCTCCTCTCTCCCTTATCTCTCAACTCCCCCTCCCCTCTACCACATCCTCCCCCTCTACCTCCTCCCTCCTCTACCTCCTCTCCCTCTTCCCCCACCACCTTCTACCCTCCTCCTCCCCCTCCTTTTCCACCACTTTCTCCTCCTCCTCTACCTCCTCCACCTTCTCCCACCATCTTCGACCTCCTCCCTCTTCTACCTTCTCCCCTTTCACTACCTCCTCTCTCCCCTATCTCCCAACTCCCCCTCCCCTCCACCACATTCTCCCCCTCTACCTCCTCCTTTCACTACGCTCCTGCACGCACCGCATCGAACCATGCGACTCTGAATCGCATTATTCGATCCGTGAATCGAAGCATTCGATCCGTGAATCGCATTATTCGATCCGTGAATCGAAGCATTCGATCCGTGAATCGCATTATTCGATCCGTGAATCAAAGCATTCGATTCGTGAATCGAAGCATTCGATTTGTGAATCGCATTATTCGATCTGTGAATCGCATTATTCGATCCGTGAATCGCATTATTCGATCCGTGAATCGAATTATTCGACCCGTGAATCGAAGCATTCGATCCGTGAATCAAAGCATTCGATCCGTGAATCAAAGCATTCGATCCGTGAATCGAAGCATTCGATTCGTGAATGTTATATGTAATAAAATCAACCATAAAACAAAAAGTCGAATTATGAAACAAAATACATGCCATAATTATAAGCCCCTTCTATAATATTATTATTTTGTGCTGGTACACTACACTAAGTGAAAAAATAGAAAGTATAAAAAAAGACTCCTGATTGATATATATCAAGATATATATATATAATAACCTAAACTGAATATAGAAACCGCGACCGTATAGGTGGGGGCGGAGTGACGTCACTTCCCCTTAGTAACCCGTCGATGAAATATAATATTTAGAATTAGTAACGTTGAATAAAATTGCAAATCCAGACATTTTTCAACGTCGTTTCAACGTTGATTGTCGACGTTGTGTCAACGTTGTTTTAACGTCTTTTGCCCGTTGGGAGCTAGTTTATGGCATGTAAACTTAGGGGCGGATCTAGGGGGG